TACAACATCTGTCTCTCTGTGCCATGTGAGGGCACATTGAGAAGACAGCCACATACAAAAGAGGAAAAGAGCCTTCCCCAGAAACTGACCGTCAGTGAATGTGGCACTGTGATCCTGGACTTGCCATCCTCCAGACCTCTAAGGAAATACATTTATGTTATTTAAGCTACCCAGTCTATATTAATTTGTTATGGCAGCCTGAGCAAACTAATATAATGCCTACTAAAATAAATTCAGAATAGAGGATATAAAACTGAGAGAACTGAAGAGAGACATAAATAAATATTCCATTATATAGCAGTTTCCCCTTTATCCACAGTTTTGTTCTCTGCAGTTTTAGTTACACATAGTCAGCCATGTTCTAAAAATATTAAATGGAAAATTTCAGAAATAAACAATCATGAATTTTCAATTGTGTGCCACTCTGAGAGACATAATGAAATCACACACTGTCCCACTTCATCCAGTGTATTCACACTGTATATGCCACCCACCTATTGGCACTTAATGGCCATCTTGGTTATAAGATTAACCATAATGTACTTGTATTCAAGTAAGCCTTATTTTTACTTGATAATGACCCCCAAGAGTAGTGATTCTGGCAATGTGGATATGTCAAAGAAAAGTCTTAATGTGCCTCCTTTAACTGAAAAGAAAAGAGTTATATGTGGAATTTGATACTATCTGCAGTTTTAGGCATTTACTATGGTTTTTTGAGCATATCCCCTCTGTATAATAGGGGACTACTGTGGTTAAAGATTGATTCTCCTCTCTCAATAATGCAATAAGGAGTCAGCACCTCTGAAGGATACAGAAGACTGGAACAACACTGTGAACTAATTTGATCTAAATGACATTTAAGAAACTCTGCCCAACATAAACTTTTTAAGAACATACTGAACATTCATCATATTCAGTACCATAAGTCCTAATAAGTTTAGAAGATTATATAAAGTATATTCTCTGTCAACAAAAGTATTAAACTAAAACTTGAGAGATATATAGAAAAATCTCCAAATATTTGAAAAAATTAACACACTTCTATATAATTCTTGAATAAAGAAGAAATGAGAAGAGAAAATTGAAAATAACATTATTTGAAAATGAAAAGTTAACATATCAAAAACATAGAGGAGTCTGGGCATGATGGCACACACTATAATCCCAGCAACTGGGGTGGCTGAGGCGGGAGGATCTCAAGTTCAGGGACAGCCTCAGCAACTTAGTAAAGCTCTAGCCAACTTAGGGAGATCCTGCCTCAAAATAAAAAATAAAGAAATACACAAATAAAAATAAAACCTGTGGATGTGGCTCAGTGGTTAAATGTCCCTGGGTTCAATTCCTGGTACCCGCCTCCCAAAGTAGGGGATGCAGCCAAAGAAGAATTTCAAGTAGAAATTATAGCAAATTCTTACATTAGAAAAAAAGAAAGTTCTCAAATAAATTATCCAAGTTTCTACCTTAAAAGCTTACAAAAAGAATAGAAATTTTAAACCTAAAGCAAGTAGAAGAAGGAAATAATAGAGAGCAGATATCAATAAGAAAAAAAATGTAAGAAATCAATGAAACCCAAAATCAGTACTATAAGGAGAATCATGAAAGTAATAAATTCCTATTTGGAATGATTAGGGGTGGGGAGAGAAAACACAAATTACATATACTGGGGATGAAAATGTACATCATTACAGATTCTATCAATGTTAAAAAGAATGTCCCTGCCCCCTGAAAGTTTTAGAATACAGTTGGTGAGAAAGGCTCTACTCCAAAGAAACAATGAGCAATGTTATCATCATACCAGTACTACTAATAATAAACACCAACTGATCATTTATTATATGCCCAGAAAAGTTCTAAGTATTTTATGTACATTAAGTCATTTTATCATCACAACTCTAATTATGTAACCACTATTATTAACCCCATTCATTAGATATAATTCCAAGATACTTGAAAAACGTAGATATGATAAGATGCTTTAGGAATTCAGTATCAGGAAGAGAAATCAGGACTTGGAGGAGAAAATAAGCATTGTACTATTCTAGGAAAAATGTCAGGGAAGGACAAGGTTTGCGCTAGCTCTTGCAAGGTTTATGCTGATGATTGTCAGGCTTTTCACACTAGTTTAGTTGTCACAATCTAACATCATCAACAATCTAGGCCTTCAGCAAAGTAGTCTAAATCTATTCCTCAGTTGACTCAACAAACATTTATAGAACACCTACTAGATTGTAGGCTCTGGAATCACAGAGATGAGAATGTATATACACTACAAAACAAATTTCTAGTTGTCACTGGGGTACAGTTCCTGCCCTCAAAAAGATTGTATATAATCTAGTTAGTTGTGCATGTTTGCATATATATGCAAGTCAACTATGAAGCAATTAAGACTGTTATAATAATGAAATAAAATGAATATTGCATTTGGCTCTCCTTACACATGGGTTCCACATCTTTGAATTCAACTGTGGATGGAAATACCACCCCCTTTTTCTCATCATTATTTCATGAGCATTGTAGTAGAAAAAAAATTTACATAGTATTTTCATTGTCCTAGATAGTATAAGTAATCTAGGAGTGAGTTAAGGTGTGCAGGAGGATGTATAAAGGTTTATATGAAAATACTACACACCATTTTATATAAAGGACTTGAATGTTCCTGTCCATGATATCCACAGAAGTCCTGGAACCACTCCTCCAAGGATACCAAGAAATAACTGTGAACAACTTCCAGACAGCAGGAGATTTGTATGAATTACCCAGAGATAGCTTTGTAGAGAATATTATTTGGAGCTGAATTTTGAAACAGTCACATTTTTGTGAGTAAAGGACGAGAAAAGGATGTACCAGCTGGTGATAAAGTAAGAAAAGCTCAAGTTGGAATGAGTACAGTCAGTTTAGCTAAGGGTGGGTAATGATAGAAGACAACTGAAGATGAAGCCAAACAAGTAAAGGTAAAAAAAAAAAAGGATACAAATTGTAGCATGAGAATTAATTTGTATGATTACTGTTGATAATTAATAATTTTCACCTGCAAATTCTAACTAAATCATTCTGCTTTACTTATGCAAAAGAAAGGGCAGAAATATAAGAGGGAGTGCAGATGATGCCCAAAACAATAGGAAAAAAAGGTTTTGAAGATCATTTGATATGCATATAATTTTCTTAGAACTCAAAAATATGAATAGAAAATTAAAAGAGAGAAAACCTATAACTGCTCCAAGAACTTGATTTTTTAAAAAAATAAATTTTGAAAAAAAGTTAAAAGATTCTTTAAGCAGTTAATAAACATATATTACTGTTCCCAAGGAATATTATCAAATCATACAGAAGATAGTAATTTTCTACCAAAGAGTAGTATATAATCATTGATACTTCTGTGGACTGGTAAAATATCTGCTCTGCTCAAATGACAGGCACCTGGGCCTTCGGTGTTCCAGGGGATATTCCCACTGCAATTTGTCAGTTGATTAGCAAATGTTCTTAGTGACAAGCATGCACATAGCCCAGGAATAAATATATCCTTATCCTCATACTTGGTTCATTTCACTTCTGTGCAGTGTCCCTGTACTCTCCTAGTTTCTTTCTAATGGCCCCAACTGCCAATTAAACAATTTCTCCCTCTCTGGATCTAAATTTGGACATAGGTATTAAGTTTGGGTGTCTGATGAGACTAATTAAATCCTTTGCAGAAATGTGAAATAATCAGTCCCAGAATGAAAGAGAAAAAAAATGAAGAAGAAAAATCCCAAGATATGAATCTGAAATAGTTGCTGTCTCTATTGAGGATTCATAAGATCACAGCTGAAAGAACATTCTACCATAAATTGAAGGACTCTGTATTAACAGCAGGAAACAAAACCTCATCTCACTAGTCTTCTACTAATCAGCACAACCACAAGTTCTACATACCTCTATCGACACCTAGCGTTCAGAGCCAGGTAAGCCCGAAGGTAACATTTTTCTTCAGTTTTTTTTCCAAGGCCCCACAGTTAGACTTGCCCATTCACTGCAGCCTACATCAGAATTCTTCGTGTGATCTTTTACCCTGCTTCAGGGCATGCCCATGAAAGCGTAATTACAGATTTATTTTATTGTCCTTATACTCCCATTTAGTCAATTGTCCTCGAGTACTTTGATACTGCAAGCTGCTCCCCAGGATGACTCTCTCCACTTAGCATATGTCAAACCTCCACCTTTCCTTCTCCCTATCTTCTCAATTACTTGAGTGTAGACTCTTTCCATGTAAAGTCTATATATTTTAATAGCATTATTTGCCACATGAAATATAATTTAAAAGACTATGCCAGAAATGTACTAAAATTGTTCATAACACCAACATTAGTATGGCTTTAGAGTTGCTTCGTTGAGGAGCTTCACTTTTTACCTCTTATTCCCACAACCTGTGAGACAGAAAGAAATATAAATGCGTAGAAAAAAGTCAACATAATGTAATAACAGACAACAACAAAATAAATCCCCAAGGGCAGTAAGTTCAGAGGCCATATTTCCTTCTAAGCAATCTTTAAAGATAAGTTTGTGCTGTTTCTAGTTAGAATGGGTGAATTTTTTTGAAGAGGTAAGCTTTCAGATGGCAATATTTTTCCAAAGATATTTTAGGCCTATATTCTTATATTTAAGTCAGACATCTTCATATCAGGCAAAATAGAAGATGTGAGCAACTAGATGAGGTTGATATATAGAAGCATGAACATGAACTGCGTTCTCAGTTGGTCTTGGATTTAACCTGGTTACATTTGTCAGGTTGCAATGTTTGGAATATATTTATACTTTAAAATTATTCATCACTTATCTGAAACTGAAATGTAATTGGTTGTCCTGTCTTTTATCAGGCAATCTGATATGGAGTGGAACAAAAGACCTAGCTGGAGTCATTTTTATGGATTATAATGGTACTTGGTGAGGTTCCAAAGATCAAATATTGAAGAAAGGTCCCAATGTTGTAAAGATTCAAATACTTTGCATTTAATTAATGCTTCATATTTGATCCATCATTTCAGATTTATTTTACTATCTGGATCCTCCACATGACAACCTTTAGGTGGATGTTTCTATGTACATTTTAAAGCTCAGAGAAATTAAGGAGTTATCACTATGATCCACATGGAGCTACATGGGAAAGCCAGAACTTGGATCCAAGTCTCCCAGTATGTGCAGTGTCTACAAATAAAGAAAAAGTTCATGTGAACACTACAAAAAATGTTCAATGTCTGAACTACAGATGAACATTAAATCTCTGGCAAACAGAATAAAACTAACACAAAGACCTAAAGCCAGCAAAATGAAGATATTCTCTAATACGCCTTATATACTTTCAAACTCTTTAGAGTCCAGTTTGGGGTTAAGCCACAAAACTATTTACTTTATTCTTCCAAGTAGTGAAACATCACTATTGTGAAATAAGCTTATTCACATATACCCTCAATTTCTAAGTCTCTAACCATTACTTTTTATAACCCATTTATGTATCCTAGAGATCTTTAATGAAAGCTCCTGATAATCCAAATCTGTTTAATCAGAATTCATTTTCCCTAGATCTTTCCACTTTAAATTTAGAAAATGTTCTTTTAATAATTCTCCTCCCTATTAGCTCTGAGGGTTGTTTTTAAGTTGTAGAGTAGTGACAGCTGGTGTTCATAGAGCATATTGCACTTCCCTTGCACATTTTTTATCTCTTACCTTTGGTCCTCAAGTTTTAGTGTTCGTAAAAATTCCCTGAGCAATTAAGCTGCAGATTCCTCCTATCCAAATACTGACCATATCTGACCCTGATTAGCTTCCAAGATCAGACAAGATCAGGCATGTCCAAGGTGACATGGCTGTAGACAGGATGCACGTTCCTAAGCCTTCACTATCACAGATTCTGATTCTACATATGTATGGGGGTGATGTATATTTCACCAGCCCCACTGGTGCCAACCCCTTTCCAACCTCCTGGTCAATCTCATCTAAGAGTCTGTAACAGCACTTCTCAAACTTCACTGTGTATAGGAGGCCCTGGGGGTCTGGTTAAAATACAGATTCTGAAACAGTAATTTGGGGATAGGCTCAGAGATTCTGCATTTCTATCAAGCTCCTGGGTAAATTTATAGGCACCTTTATATTGCTGTTTTAAACTTAAGTTTGTCCATTTCTTTTAATGTAGCTAGATCATTACAGGCTGAATCTCTGAGTTTACAAAAATGTGACTGATTGATGGTTTTTGCTCAGTGGTTAAAGAGATTTTCCGTAACTCTCCTCCTGTTCTCTACTCTGTCCATATACTTATAGTCCTAAAGGATACCCTTTAGAAGTAGCTGGGAACAGTCTGCTATGCCCCTGATGGGAGTCCTACCTAAACCTATGCTTGTTCCTCTCTAGTCCAATCCATGTTCTGCAACCAAACAGAAAGGCCCAGGGCAGTAGCATCCCATGAATGCTATGAATATATATATATATATATATATATATATATATATATATCAGCTCCTCATTGCGTTATTACCTACCCATAAGAAAGGAGTTCAGTTATGACAACCAGTTTGCTGAGAGCCATTTTATTACATGGATTATCTATATAATTCTTAAAGTATCCATAAAATAGATTATATTATTGTTCCTATTTAATTATAAGGAAAAAAAGATATAAAGAAAAGCAGGTAGGTAATAGTCGATATCTAATATCTCAATTAAAGCCTCGTTTTAGACTGTATGAGTCACATTCAAACTTAAAAAAAAAAAAAATTGAATTCAGGGCTCCACTTCCCTTGTGTCCCGGAGGGGCATAACATTCACTCTACCTTTTCTCTGTAATGTACACGTGTTGACATCCAGCAATGAATGGCTACAAAATACAAGAGGTTTCCAGGACAACCTAGGTTTTCTGTAAATTGCCAGAGTGTCTGCCTGTCATAATGGATAAAATACTAAAGAGCTACCAGAGCATCCATGCAGACAACTTCAAAGATGTATTCTCAACAGTTGAGTTCTGTGACCAGGTCAAAGAACAAAATTAACCACATACTTTTCTTTTGCCCACACCCTTTTTATTCTTATTACTCTTCCTTTACGTGTTACTTTACTTCAAACAAATAATAGCTCTATGAAACCTTTTTAAAAATAACACAGAAAACTGTCTCCAAATTTCTACTACTCTTTAGATATGCTTAGTTGAGCAGAAAATATTCCCTCTTGTCTCTTATGGTTTTATAATACTATTGTCTTTATAGAAATAGCAGGCTGAGATATACAATCGTCTTTCCAGGTTGAGCACTCAGTGTTGAGTATGTATTCCTTAATTTGCTTAAGTATGCATTCTTTATTGTTGAGAATCAGTGCTATCTAGAATAAAAAGGAGGCCATGTGTTTATCAGAAGGCATTAGAAGGCATTAATGCAGGCAGCTGTGAGGCTGAGATGAGAAAGAAAACCCTAAGGATTACATATTAGCTTCTGAATAATCTCATAATCTGGGACTTTGATCAACCTTTATAATTCTAGGAAGGCTCTGTTTTGCCTGTGAATATGAAGACCAAACCAAAAGGGAGTGAAAGCAGGAGAACAAGTAGATAAGGAAAATTGGAATAACAGTTGAGAGACAGCTACTCGCCTCTCTCTGTTTCATTTCATGGTACGAACAGAGAGTTGGGAGCCACACAAATACAAGTTTGAATATCATAATCTCACATCTATCACTGCATGTAACTCTATGGTATCAGGTAGTTTATTTTGCATCTGAATATCACCCAGTTTCTTTATTTATGAAGTGTAGAAACTACTACTTACCTGGCAGAGTTGTTGGGAAGATAAATGATAGGCAAGTATGGAGCCTGGAAATAGAACCACAAAGAACAGCAGTTATTAATGATTCTGGCCACCACTTCTTCATACGTTCAGCTTTCAAAACATATTTATTGATCACTTCTCTGTGGCAGAAAAAGAGTGAAGGTCCAGAAACAGTGAAAAAAGAGGAAAAAAAAAATCTCTGTCTCAAGAGATTTATGCAACATCCTTTGAAAACCACAGTAAATAAAATCCAACCCCCACTGCTCCATCAAAACTCCTTCAACAAAGTCACCACTGCCCTGTCAATCAAATATGATGAACTCTTTTGTTATTAGATGAACTTCCTCCTGCTCCATCTAATAACATTGTGCAATTACTTTCTGATGTCTAGTGGTCTGTTCTATGATGATATTATTCTACTTTCAGATGAAAATTTTCTACCTCTGTCACTAGTTTTTTCTTCTGCTAACCCTTTGATATTTCCTAGAGTTCTAATTTTTGCCATCTCCCTTTCAGATGCTTCACAAGTGGCCCTTGATCTTTTCATAGACATGAACTCCTTTAAGAATCTAAAGAAACTATGCACCTTCTCCCTAGGGCGGGGAAATGGATCTTCTTATAAATTATTTGAAAATGTACATACATTTTTTGGAGTTTCATAAACTTTCTTCTAACTTCCCAAAGCCTACTACCAAAAGCCTAGTTCTCCAACTCAAGGGGTTCCTGTGCCTTAACATGTCAATGAGCCTGGAATCTCTATCTCCTACATAATCCACTTTCCTTAGCAATAGTTAGGCTTTCAAACAACTAATTGGACAATTCCATATGAATGTCCTTCAGTCATCTTAAAATATCCCACATGAAAAATTGTGCTGTATATGTGTACTATGAATTACAATGCATTCTGCTGCTATGTATAATAAAATTAGAATAAATAAGTAAATTTTTAAAAATATCCCACACCAGTCTCATTATCTTTCCGCTTAAAACTATTCTTCTCCTTGGAGGCAATATCCTATGAGAAAAGGAACGTTAACTTAAAACCAAACAGACCTAGATTTAAATGTAACCGTGGAAACTTGAGTAAGATACTTAACCTCTTTGGGCTTTGATGTTTTTATTTATAGCAGGAGAATAATATTATCTCCATTTCCTGCATTGTTTGGAGAAATAAAGTAGCTAGAGAAAAATACCTATCCAAGTGCCTGCCACAAAGCTTATATTCCACAAATATTAATATTACTGATTTTCAGTCTCAGTAAAAGCAACTCAGTCAGGCATAATGACGCACATCTGTAATCCCAGCTACTTTAGGAGGTATCATATCTACTCAGCAGTAGATATGATAGGTTGTCTAGCATATGCAAGGCCCTGGTCAATACACAGTTAATATAAAACCGAATAGAACACAAACGAACAACGCCATGCATCAAGTGTCTCACGCCAAAAATTTAGGAATCATCTTCAACTTGTCCCCTTTTCCTCTTTAAAACCAAATGGATGGCTATGCTGTGTTGATTTCCCACCTTTCCCCCAGCCCTTAGTTGGGACTCTTGTGTTCTTCCTCATGGAGACCACAATTTCTCCTGCCCCATTGGTCCAATTCAGTCCCATAAATCTGTGCTCTGTACTGCAGCCAAATGATCTTCACAAGACACAAATATGATAATTTCATGACTCTGCTTAAATCTACCCACTGCTTCTCACTGCTTCCAGTATTACATGTACCTTACAATGGCATTGAAAGCTGATAATGATTTCCCCAAATCTACCTTTCAATTCAATTTCTCAAACTAGTTTTGCATTTCCCAGACATCCATAGTGTTTTGGATTCTGTACTTCTATTCCTGCTGCCTCTGTTGCCTGAAATGTCCTCAATTCTATGTCTCTCCTTGACACTTAGGCAAACACCTATTCGTTGTCAAAGCACAAATATTACCTCTACTGTGAAGTTATTCCTGACAGTGATTCCTCTGCTGTATTGTTGATCACTGCCTCTTTTTTTCTCTTACGTCTCTGTGACAGATGATTTTCTATCACAGCAAAGATGAATAATATGTGGTTCCTGGTCTCAAAAAGCTTACAAACATCATTCAACCAGAAATTTTATTATGTAACGACAAATAGGAAAAGGAATTATGAAGCACAAAATCATGAGTCGTAAATAACTGCAACATTGAGCTCAGTGGTCCCTTCTCTAAAGCCTTCTATGCTGTATTCTACTGCTGTGTGTGTGTGTGTGTGTGTGTGTGTGTGTGTGTGTGTGTGTGTGTTGCTGCTGTTGTTATAGAAGCATTGTTACAAAACTCATTTCACAAAAACTCTGATATAGACACAATTATTATGCTGTTCATAAATGAGAAAATTAAAGCATGAAGGGTCTAAGTAATTTACCCATATGACTCCACTAAAAATACCAGATTCAACACTCCTCCCCAGCCTGTTTTGTGTCACTTTGTACCTACATATCTAGGGTGCTGCCTTCTAGAATAGCATCAGTGGAGGTGGTAGAGGTATTCATATTAAAAAGATAATCCAGAATTCTCTCCTCAAGTCTAAAATGTCTACTTTAGAATTTAATTTCATGTCACTAATACTTATAGGGTAAAGATCCCAAATCGCCCACTTCTTTGGAGCTTTTCTGCACTCTCCATCCCTGAGGGACTTGACATCCAGATTGTAACTGGAGACCAGAAGCCCCAAATAAAGAGAGCTCTCACCTCTTTCTTATTTTTCTTGCTTACATCTGGCATTTTCTCTGAGAAATATTCAATTCTCCTTCAACATCAAATATCATCTTGAATCTGATGAATTCAGCCATTAGCCCAATTTTAGAGACACAAATTTCCAATATTAAAAAGCAACAATTGGGGCTGGGGTTGTGGCTCACTGGCGGAGTGCTTGCCTGACACATGTGAGGCACTAGGTTCGATGCTCAGCACCACATAAAAAATAAAATACAATAAAGTTCAAAAAAATAAAAAGTAACAATTAAAAAAGACAATTCAAAATGAGGAATTTTTATTTTCCACCCCAATACTGACCAGCTATCTTGTAGTATGGACAGCAAAAAGAAAATAAATATTCAGCTTGAGGAGTCTGGAGCAAGGACAATTTCCTAGTAGTCAGTGGTTTTGAGATGTCAGATGATGTTTCCCAGGGAAGTCATGGAATCTCCTTCCATGGATATCCTTAGCTAAGATATTTTAAGACATTTTGCTTAGTCTTGGATTGAGTATTCATTGATCTGAACAGCTGCAGGGTGTTAGATGGCATGCAATTTGTGAAGACCATTAATTGGGACACTAATTGTAGTAATTGGACAAAAGTAGAAAAAGTTTGCTCCATGTTTCCAAAAGAGAAGAGTACTTGTTAAATTAATTATACTCATGATTGTAGGGAAAATGCTCAAATTACCTAATAGAACTCTTTTCAAATATCTTATAAAAATATAATTGCCAATGATTGTTTTCCCAGGTATTACCCAACTGATTTAGGAACGTGTCCACAGAAAAACCCTCCACACAAATCCTTTAAAGCAGCTTTACTCATAATCATCAAAAATTGGAAGAAAGCAGAGTATTCAGTTTGTACATTAAAATACTATCCAGAGGTTAAAAAATACAGGAATGAGCTATCAAATCACATACACAAGAAGAGAAGGCTAAATGAAAGAAATCAGTCTGAAAATGATACTTATTATATAATGCCATTTCTATGATATTCTGGAAAAGTTGAAACCATAGAGATGATAAACAGATCAGTAGTTGTTAGGCATTTGAAGAGGTAAGAGGGTTTAGTACATGAAGCACAATGGACTATTTTTTTTTCAGGGTGGAAAAACCATTCCATAAGTATATGGAATGAAGTATACACGACAATATGTCATTTACATATGAATAATATTATGTACATATACACACAACACGATATATGCATTTGTCAAAACTCCTAGAATTTTATAGCACAAAGAGAACTTTAATAGATGAAGATTTTTAAAGAAATCATAGGAGCTCAAAGAACCCCAGGATAGAATGTAGACTAATATAAAGCAAAAGACTTTATATTACAAACGTATAAAATAACTTCATTGAAAAAGGTGGGATTGCTTACTTGAATAAATATGGAAATGAGTGGAGTCTGTTAAGACAAAAGGCAAAAGAACTATACATAAGTATTGGACTCTAGCTGTTAAATCTGTTTCCCATAGGCATACCTGGTAACAATTCTGAACCCACTATACGTGTACATGGAGAGTTAACAGTTCTGAACCCACTACACATGTAAACAGGAATTGAACAATTAATTAAATAGATGACAGACAATGAGAGCCAAGTTTCTCACACTAGAGTGCAAGGTTACAGATGAGCAGAGGGAGGAGACGAGCATGATCCATGTGGTGCTGGATTAAAGCTGGAGACATCAGCATGAACTCTTATTTAGCTGACAAAGAAACAGATGGATACATATATAAATTATTTATAGATACCTGCATTTACTCAGGTTAATTTACATACATATATCTCCTTGCTCTGCAACTGAAAAGGCCTAGAAGCAACAATATTCAAAATGTCCAACTCTTGATTTCTAATGTCATTTTCCATTAAAGGGCCCATGGCTCCTTGGGAAAGTGGATGATTCTAGGATTAGATCAGGGGAACATACTAGATGATCCTGGAGAATCTTGTAGTGCCAGAAACTAAGGAAGTGTTCATGGAAAACAAGGGTATGTCAAAAAGGCAGAGATGTCAACTAAAAGAAATTCCAATGATCAAAACAGGAAAGACAACAAAATACTATTGGATCACAACCCCAAATGTAAAACATCCAAACTACATTCTAATATGAATGGCTGAATACACAAACAAATGGGGCAGAACAGAAGATCTCCCATGCAGAAGAACTGCAAATAATTTATGAAGATAGTTTACTATTAAAGAGATGAAGCACAACTTCTCACTCCTACAATTTGAGCTGCACATAGTGACATCCTTCCAAAGGAAAAGAATAACTTCACAGTTGAAAAATCTGGCAAACACTACCTTAGCAAGGTGATAAAGGTTAGCATCAATAGTGATAAATCATGTGTACTCTTGATGTGATGTGTTAAGGAGGGTACTTTACCTCTTTATCCCCCAAGTCCTATAACTCCAATCAATACATAAGAAAAAACATCAGGCAAACTCCAACTGTGGGATATTCAACAAAATGTCTTATGGAGAATGAAGGGAAGGGAGGGAGGATGAGAAAAGGAAAGACAGTGGATATAACTTTCCTATGTACATATACCACAGTGAATCTCACAATCGGGTACACCCATAAGAAATTAATTTTAAAAAATAACTATGGGTAAATGGCAGAAAGATCAATCAAGGGAAAGGGGCAGGGGGTGGGGAGTAGAAAGGAAAGGGAGAGGTGCTGGATTAAGAATTAGAACAAGATATTTTCCATGCTTGTACAAGTATGTCAAAATGGATTCTGCTATAATGTATTATTAACAAAAAAAGTGCTTTGTTAGTATGCCTCAAAACTATCAAGGTTACAAAAGCAAACCAACTCTGTGAAACTGTCACTGTCTGGAAGAGTCTGAGGAGACACGGTGACTAAATGTGATGTGGTACTCAGAATTCTGATATAGAAACAGACAATAAGTCAAAAATTAAGAAATATGAATAAAATTTGTGTTTTAACTACAATTTTTAAAAATGCATTAATTTTTAAATTAATTAGCATATACTATTTATAAATAAATCATTGGATACGTATTTACCGAGCCTGCAGTGAAAGTGGCACTGTATTAGAAGTGGGGACATAAAAAGAAAAAGTGCCCTGTGCTCAAAAGAAAAATATTCGTGAAAAATACATAATCATACAAAGAACAGAAGACTGTATATTCTGGAGTCAGTAAGAAAAGCTCAGAGTGGGAGGAATCTATCAAATAAAACAAAAATCAATGAACGAAGGGAAAACTCCCTCCTAACCCTGCCTGCAGCCCTCCTTGCTAACTCCCAGCTGACACCTCCTCGCTTTGGTCCACCCTTGTTGTCAGCCCAGGCTCAGCCAATCGAAGGTCGGCTCTGGTAGGCCTACGTGTCACGCGTGCGCATCATCGGTTCGACGATCCTTTACATCGATGCACTCGGAAGCAACTTCGTTGGCCTGGTCGTGACCAAAGTAGCCGCTACCCCCATCGCCTTCGCCGCAGCCATTTTGACGGTGCGAAGAGTCAGAGTCTGGGACAGCTGGAGGCGGGTGGTGATTGGTACGGATGGTTTCCGCCCGCCTTAGCCCCTCCAAACTCGCCAATCTTTGGCCCAGAGTTCTCGGTATTGCCCTGATTACGGAGATCCCCTGTCGTCCTATCACCTCCCCTTCCTCTTCTGCGCAGCCCGAGCCTCCTTTCGGAGCTGTTGCCAAACAGCCCTGATCCGTGTTAAAACATCAGCGTGGACCCCGGCGCTCTGAAGGCCGGCCGTCCCACCCCCTCGGGTCGGGTGGGTTTTCCCCCGGCACACGTGTGCCCGGGAATGCTCGCAGCCGCGACCTCCTGGGGTCGGCGGGGGGAGTCTGGCCTCGGGGGTGAGGGGCAGCTCGGAGGTCATCCTGCCGAGGGGGAGGGACTCAGCACGCAATAGTGGACGTTCCGGAGCGGTCCCTCAGAGTTCTGTCTGTCACTAGCCTGTTTTGTTTTGTCCTTTCCCAGGAATACTTTGCGAAGGAGAAGATTTTGTGTCTGTCTTCTCCACTGGAAATGGCCAATGTGAGTAGTCTTAAAAGTCAGTTGAACTTGTTGGGAATCAGACGGATTTCATTATGAGGGCGTTGACGTCATGATGTTAGTGTATCAAAAATGTCAGGAGAAGCAAGGGCTATGAAATTATGTTGTAATCCTTTTAAGGTAGTTTGAACACAGATATTCTTTTAATATGCATGTACTTATCTCTCCAATTTTATTTTTCTAAACAGAAAGTTTTAAAACCCAATATTTTAAAGACATTATTCCAGTAAGTATTTAGAATCTATATAAAGCCCCTTTTTATTTCTGGTTAGCAAAACTGAAGGGTTTGTAGCCGTTGCAATATAGGAAGTGGCCTTCCAGATTCTACAAAATGAAATCAAAAGGTATTCATTCACATCAGCATTGACTCTTAGGTACCCTGTGATTAATTATACACATCCAAGGCTGAGAGTGTATTTCAGTGAGGGAGTGCTTGCCTAGATTGTGCAAAAAAGAAAGAAAAAATTATACACATCTTACTTTACCTTAGAGACTTCATATAATATGGACATAAGACATATGAAAACAGCTACAATAAAAGTAGCACATAATCTTTTTTTAAAACTTTGAAAAGGTACAATGCACATTCAGAGTTTTGTGCAGAAGGAAAAGTAGGGTTTGGAGACTACTGTGAAAAGCATTTGAGATTTGAAAACTGAATAAAATCTGATAATTACGAAATGGGTGGGAAGAATAGAAGTTGTTCAAAGAACACTACTCATTGCTCCTTTCAAAAATTAAATCATTTCCACCTGCTGATCACTAGAAGGTAAGGTTGAATTCTGAGGTTGGGACCAAATAATAGGGAACCCTGAATGAAGCCATATTCTATAAACTGTGGTGACTTAATCAGACCTGAATGTTAGAAAGATGAATGGGCAACAGCAGAGATATTATTCTTGCAATTAGTAAGTGCAAATGTGTGGCTACACAGTCAAATCACAAGAGTAGTCTAACAATTTGGGCTTAATTTTAACATGAATTTTTGCCTACCCAAAATCTGTACAGAAAGGAACGTTGTAAAAGGTGTATATAGTACTTTGAAAAGAGGGAAATTAATTTAAGTATAATATTAATATCTGACCTTTATTTTGGCTACATGAATATAAATTAGTTCAGTAGGGCAAATAGTTTAGAAGATGCTTTTACAAGTTATTTTTTAGAATGAAATTTATACTAAAAAATGTTAGTATTTAAATTGCTTAAAATTTTTGTATTTATATGCATTATAAACTCTGAATGGATGTTAGTAATGAAATATGCATGTCTTTGACAGTTTAGTTAACATTCCAATTGAGAGTCATATCAATGCTTCAGAGTCTAGCAAACTGAATTTATAACTCTTTAAAATATACCTTTTGTGATGTTATGCTTTTTATCTAAAAAATTACAGACTTTTATTAAAATTTTATATATGGTAGAATACTTGTTGAAGAAGTACATACCTGCTTTTCATAAAAACACAGAAAATACAGCATTCCTGAATTCACGTAGCCCAATGGCATTAGTTAGCAACAAATTACTATAGCTACCAGAAGGCTGTTTCTTTATATCAGAAAGGCATATTTCAAGTTTGTCTAGATTCTGAAGCATGGACGTTTATGACTCTTAATATGTATGCTAAATGATTTCTATTAAACGAAGAATTTTTAGTTATGAGTTTTTTATTATTAAAGGGCCAAGTCATATATATTTTAAGTTTTGTGGGCCGTATACTCTTGGTTACAGCTACTTCACTCTGCCAGTATGGTGCAAAAGCAGTTAGACATAATAAGTAAGTGAATGGGTATGTATGTATTAAAATAAAACTTTGTTTACCAAAACAATAGGCTGTACTTGTGTATAATTTGCCAACTCTTGCATTAATTTATTCTGACTCAAATATTTTGCTAAAAGTGTATGCATAGAAGATATTTATATATTCACCCATTATATCTGATTTCAATGTCTAGAAAATGAATATAAGATCAGAAAATAAAGATTTGTGCTAAAATGAAGGAAATTGGACATTGCCATCCAATCAAAAGAGACTGGCTTGGGCAATAATTACCACTATTTATTTATTTACTTATTTATATATTTTGGTACCTAGGATTTAATCCAGGGGCACTTAACCAGTGAGCCACATCCTCAGCTCTTTTTCATTTTTTATTTTGAGATGGGGCCTTGCTAAGTTGCTAGCTTTGAACTTGCAGTCCTTCTGCCTCAGCCTCCCAAGCCATTGGGATTACAGGTGTGTGCCACTGTGCCTGACAATTACCACAATTGACGGTAGTAAAATAATAATATTATTAGAAAGGAAACAGAACTTGGTCCAAGGGGAGGTTTGGAAATTTCTGTATCTTAAGGATATAAGAATCTTACTTTTGCTACCTTTGTAGTGTTGTCTTTAAATGAAGTATCTTTTATGAGTTTCCTTTCTTTCATGACACAATTGAATTCTGGCCTTTATTGGAAAAGACATACTTTTCTTTGAATTATTACTTGTTTTTTTTTTTTTGTCTTAATATTTGTATTGTCAACCTAAAATGAATAGGATATAGAAAGGCTTTCCAAAGAAAAATAGTTTATTTGGGAGTAAGAAAGTGATTGAAATCCAAAACACACATACCTTGACAGACAGTGGGAATTCACAGAAAGACAAGGGTTTTTAAAAGTAAGATGAGGAAGGTTCCATAGTTATTTTCAAATAATTATCCTTGGTCATAAGGATCAGTAACAGAGGTACTAAGTCCAAATTTGAATGGGCAGTTGTTGAGTAGACAATCTTACAAAGTTTTTTTATATACAAGCTGTGGTAGCCTTGTGTCAATTGTGGTTTGGGCAATCTTTTGTGATGGTTTCTGTTATCAGGCATACATGCATGAAGATGCCCTCCCCTCCCCAACCAGGATTTTCTGTCTTCATTTATTAGAGTTCAACATGAATGACAGCTTTGATTCTGACAACTGACAGTATTTTGTTTTTTAAATTATATATGTATTTTAATGCTTGTTTCATAGTAGGTTTCAACAGAAGTGGAATAAATTTTGGCTTTAAAAGATGTATTGCAGTATGAAAATTTGGCAGAAATTATAACATTTATATCTAGAATAAATAGTCTTATTTTTCCTGCCATTCTTAGGTGCTCTGTAACAGAGCCAGACTGGTTTCCTATCTCCCGGGATTTTGCTCTTTAGTTAAAAGAGTTGTCAATCCAAAAGCCTTTTCAACTGCAGGATCTTCAGGTTCAGATGAATCTCATGTGGCCACTGCCCCTCCAGATATATGTAAGTAGATGTTATTTTTGCTTCACTTATAATCATTTCAAAATATTTGAGTTGCATTTCCTCTAATATTTCTTTTTCTGATTTTGGAAGCTGTGTTTATTCCATTTAAAATAAGTCAGAGCTCTGACTAAATATTTATTATCCAGAAAGATAAAATATTAAAGAATGAATATAGATGCTCCTTATCTTATGGTGCAATTAAATCCCAGTTAACCCTTCAAAAATTGAAGACATGAGAGGTCAAAAATGCATTTAATATACCTTTTAGAATACAGAGTGTTGTAGGGTATGAGATATTTGCAGTGATCATGTGGGCTTAACTAGAAACTGTCTCACTCTTCAGCATTGAGAGAGATTATGGTATAGCATGTTTCTAGACAGGAAAAAGTTTGGTGCATATTCAGCAAAGGAAACAAATTAGAAATGTGAAGTGAGAACCTACAGAATGGGAGAAAATCTTTACTAGCTACTCTTCTGATAAAGGATTAATATGTTTAATATATAAAGAACTCAAAAAAAGTAACACCAGAAAATTAAATATTTCAATAAATAAATAGGCAAATGAATTAAACCAGATACTTGACAAAAGAAGAAATACAAATGACCACCAGATATGTGAAAAAATGTTCAGCATCATTAGCAGTTAGGGCAATACAAATCAAAACTACACTGAGATATCCTCTCACACCAGTTGGATTCTTTTAATATAGCTGACTTCTTGTAAAGTATATATTCAATCAGTAATTTATGCTGTCTACAAAGTCTGCTTCTTCTATTTTGCACACCACTAAAATATTTTAATCATGTTGCTCTCATGATAAGCCATGATTAACTCTTATTACTCTTAGCTAGAGTTCCCAGACTGTAAGAGTTCAAGTTTTTTTGAAAAAAGTGTTGTTATTAAGTACGTTTGAGAAAAATGCCATATACATGCCATATTTGTGTCTTGAAAGTTTATAATGCACACTTAACCTATTGTGTGCTGAAAGTATTATTCATGGAATTCTTCTTATCTTGAAACACATGAGTGCAATGTAATTTAAGTTCATTTGGGTCTTCAAAGCCTTCCATCCTGCATTGCTTTTCCTTTATAACTTCATCTTTGACTATTACCCAGTTTATATTACCGGAAAACTTAACTGTGTATGTATTACAAATGAAATATTTGCCATTCAAATTATATAAGGGGCTGGTATCCTGAAAATAAATAAATAAGCAAATATATATATATATATATATATTTTTCCCCTAGATTAGTAGAAAAAAATACAACCTAGTAGAAAAACAAAAACAGGATAATCAAAACAGGCCTTTCTCAGAAGAGAAATCCTAAGTGATCAGTAAACATTAAAATATGCTCAAATCCTATTAATATGGAACATTTATTTTTTCTAAAGAGAATTTGACAATGGTAGACCTGATTGTTCTTTAAAACCAATCACATTCAAAACTTTATCTTAGGAACTAACCAGTCAATTACTAGTGGCTGTGTACAGCCTTATTACTTACAAGTAATTAGAAACCATACAAGTATCTGTTATTGCAGTATTTGTAGTTTGTATTAATTCAGGTAGCTGATAAACAGAATTGTGTCATATAATGCTCAATTTTTTTGCCCCAGTCCATTAGTGTTTTGTGCCACTTAGAAATGGCAGCTAAATGCCCCTTCCTAAGGAAGACCATTTTTAAGTTTGGTGTCCTTCCTTTTAGGTCTTTTTCTCATTGTTTAAAAATATGAATATAAGGAAGTCAAATAAATACTGTTTATTTTATCCTGTTTGATTTTTGTTTTTCTAAAATTAATGCTATTCTTTGACTTAGCTTTTCTTTTAAAGAAATATGTCCTGGACATCATTCTGTGTTGGTACATGAAAGTTTACTTGTATTCTTTTTAATGACTATCAAACATCTCATGTATTAATTAGAGTACTTTATTGAATTTTTCCCCTAATAATGGAGTTGCCTGTGAGCCATCAGCTAGTTACTTTAATTAGTGTAAACCACATGAAACTAATTTATGTTCATACAAGAAAGCAGATTTCAGATATCTATTTGTAGACAAAAAAAATACAATAATAAGAACATTCTTCCAGTCTGCAAATGTTCTTGACTACTAAGAAGGAAATTATGTGTTTTGTTTCTCCTCTTCAGGCTCTAGAACAGTGTGGCCTGATGAAACTATGGGACCATTTGGACCTCAGGATCAGAGATTCCAGCTTCCTGGGAACATAGGTTTTGATTGTCACCTCAATGGGACTGCATCACAGAAGAAAAACCAGGTTCATAAAACTTTGCCTGATGTACTGGCAGAACCTTTATCAACTGAAAGACATGAATTTGTGATGGCACAGTATGTGAATGAATTTCAGGTAAATTGCTAATATCATTATGTTTTTCTAATTATTAATGCAATAGTTTTTCTTAATCTGAGCATGTCACTTTTGCATTGAAAAGTTTTTTTAAAAAACTTGATCCTAGTATATATAATAACAACATCAACAGTCCTTTAAAAAAAGAAAAAAAAAAAAACAAAACTTGACATTGTCCAAGCTATACAGTGTTTGCAGTTTAATTTTTTATATAATTTTAGGTTACAATCTGTTGTAGGTAATTAAGTCTTCAAAAATATGTTTTTAATAACTATTTCCAATATAGATGTTTTAATTATGTCTTTATCATTGAAAATTTAGGTTACCTGTTTTTCACTTTTTAAAAATGGCAATTATAATCTGAATATGCACTTAATTCTAACCAACTTAATACTTCACTAGCCACTCTTAAAAGCTGAAGAAAATTTTGAGGTCTCTGAAATTGTTTACAGTATGTTAAAAAGAAAGCATTCTTTGTTTTTGTGTGTGTATGTGTTTTGTTTTTAAATGATTTCTGAGGGTTTTTGAGTTGTTGTTGTTTTTAGTTTTGTTGAAATACTTTAAACTGACATTGCATCATTGCTCATTCAAGGAAAAGTAACATGCAGTTCAGAATTTTGGTCAAGCCCTTAACACTTTATCTTTTTTTACATTTCTGCATCATTTCAGGCAGAGTGCTTGACCAAATCTGTATTATCAGGAACAGCCTTCCCTGTCATATGTTAAGTTATATATCAGATGACCTGACATTGGGACAGAGTTGACCTCCCTTACCCTTGTATCTCAGATAATTCCTTCTCAGTCTTGGTTCTTCTTTCCTCCTCTGCCTACAAATTAGGTGATTTTTCCTACATAGTTGCTTCATTCTCATTTAAATTATTCCTTGTTCACATAATCCCTTGGCTTTCTCCACAGGCTAGGTTTTTATAATCCCTAACTCACAATTTCTATTTCTCACATTTCTGGCTCTACATTTTCATTTATCTACCAAGCATCCCAGATTTTGCATGGTGAATGAGAAAGGCATATTTTATTTTAAATGAAAGTATATCCTGGTTGACATACAGAGAAAGAGGAAGTAGTGGGAAATAAGAAGGAAAAGGTAAGATATCAAAATTGTAAAAGGTCATTCAAGCTAATTAAGAAATGAAGAAGTCCTTTTTTCTCTTATAACCTGTTCCTGCAACCATTACTATTAATAGTATAACCATATTTCCTTTGTATCAAGATAAAAATCATAGCACCAAACTTGACTCCCCTTCTCAGTCATATCTCCACAGTGTCAAAAATCACATCTTTCTGTAAAGTTGTTCTTTCCAGTTTTCTGCTCAGAGCCTGTCTTGCCTCTAAGAATCTAGATTAAATAAATCTGGGTTTATAAGTTGACTTTACCACTTATTTTTTTGACATTGAGAAAGTTACTTAATCTTTCTGAGCCTTTGGTTCTTTATGTGGAAAAAAAAGAAAAAAGGGAGGCACAATAATAATCTTCAGTCCACAAGGTTGCAGTGAGAATTAAATTTGAAAGTGTACTTAAAGCACAAAAATCCACTAAGGGATCAATGAATGTTGATTGTTAACTGATCTTTTACCTGTTCCTCATTACCATACATTCTCCACATTAATACTACTTTTTTATATTTGATATTACTACTTCTTGTTGCATATAGACAAAAGTCAAAATTTCTTAATGTAGCATAAAAGACCTTTCACAATTTTATTTCTTTCCCATCTTATTTCCCACTACTTCCTCTTTTCGCTCCAAGCATAATATGCTTCCTCTTTTTTTTAACATATCATTGTCTTTCACCATTGTTTACTGTTATATATAATTATCTCTGCTGTACTGTTTTTCCTTCTAATTTTCTAACCTATGCTCTACCTGTTCCTTACTTACTAAACACACAGTAGTTAATATGTACCTCAAAAATGACAATTTCAATCTTTATCTGATTTCTCCTAGCAAAGCAAGTTTTTTCCTTCTCTTTGCCCCAGAAGACTTTCTTCCTAATCTTTAATCTTTCTAATCTTGTGTCACTTTTCATATGAAATTGCATTTATTTCATTGTTTCTTCCTCTTACTAGGTTTGATATGTCAAAGAAGACTGGATTTATTTATTTTTTTTTAAATAACCATTATAGTGCCTGCTCCTGTTAAAGTGCTAGACCTATTCAGTTTAATAAAGACCTCTAAGCCCTACCTATGGGAGGGGCTGTATTATTTAATCATGTTACTTTTAAGTTAATGTTCTTATCCCAATTTTGTAGATTATTGAACAAAATAATATATAATTAGATATAATCACAAAATACCAGAAGACATAACATTTTAAGGTATAAACATGGTATTTTAGTTTTTCATCCAAATTTTCTTCATATCATATCCTAGAATATCAGCAGCATATTTTTGTTGTATTTTATTCAGAATTTCAAAGGTTCAGATCATCGATTCATCTTGGAGAAAAGTTTTTTGAGTATATAAGAAATTATTACCAGTTAAGTGTGGTAGCCCAGCCTGTCATCCCAACTATAGGAAAGGTTGAGGCAAGAGGATAACTTAGTTTGAGGCCAGGCTGGGCAGCTTAGCAAGAACCTGTCTTACCCTAGGTGGTAGAAGGCCCACCCCTAGGTTCTATCTGTATTAACATCCCACCCCCAAAATATACCTTCTAATAAAAATTATTTTTTTAAAATTTTCTAACCAGATGAGTTCTTAACAGATATATTATTGTATTTGAACTTCAAATTTTACTTATAATTATTGGTCCCCATAGGGTAATGATGGACCGGTTGAACAAGAAATTAACAGTGCAGAAACTTATTTTGAAAGTGCCAGAGTGGAGTGTGCAATCCAGACATGTCCAGAATTGCTTCAAAGAGGTATGTCACACCTCATATATTGAAACACTAACACGTTTAAGGTAATATTACTGATTTTGTAATGCATTGAGTAATGTACTCCAAAGGAACTATAATGCTCTGTGTCTTAATATTAGTGTGTCTGGCTGGAAATGATTGCATGTCTAAGATAAAGGCTTTCAAATGTCCTCCAAAATCAGATCTCATGCTTTTTACCTAAAACTTGTCATTTATACTCCTGCATGATTATTAGATCTGTAATTTCATGAACTAATATATAATGGAGACAAATCTAAATAACAAATTTATTTGAAAATTTTTATTAACAGCAATAGCATGTAGTTCTACTTACCCTCCAGAATTGTCGCCAGTAATGTTTCAACTTGTCCAACAAAAATAGAAGTGAACTAAGATAAGTTCACTTTATTCTTTTCAAAAATAAAGTGTATTTGTAATAACTTAGTAAAAATAATTTAACTTAAGCATAATTTTTCTAAGGAAGTGTTATATTTATGAACTACATCTTTTTTTAAAGCAAATTATTTTCTTCTTGGATTTTTATTCTTATTTGTAGATTTTGAGTCACTATTTCCAGAAGTAGCTAATAGCAAACTAATGATTCTGACTGTAACGCAGAAAACTAAGAATGATATGACTGTTTGGAGTGAAGAGGTAGAACTTGAAAGAGAAATGCTCTTAGAAAAGGTAATTTTCTTAATTACTAACAATTTAATTTCATGGTCCAACTTAAATACCATTAAAATGGTGTATTAAAATGTGTTTTCCAGTCTTTGTTCATTCTCTGAAACATTTCAATACTAAACATCTTTTTCTAAGAACTAAAAAGCTGCCAAGTTTTTTTTTTTGTCATTAGTATTTTTTAAAAACTTAGATTCTGTTCAATACTTTCCTTAATTTTTCTAAAATTTAAATCTGTTTTAGGAAATTTGGAAAAGGTAGTACAAAACAACTTTTTTGAAACTCTTTATACTCTTTTTCTTTTTGCCCCTTCCTTCCATCTGCTCCCATTCTCCACTGTAAGGCATGTCAAGTAAATAATGAAAATTACCCCAACAATCTCCAAGAATAGTAGCAATAAACTGTAAAATAGCACAATAAATACTGTATACAAATACAACATTTTTTTACCTTAGCTTTTAACCTAATAATTTCCCATACCATTATATGTAGATATAGCTCATTTTTTGTAGAATCTTTATAGTATTTCATTATACAAGTAAACCATAATTTTTTTTAAATTATTCTAAAATTTCCTGTGTGATTTAGATGAAAATCAAACTTTTGCTATTACCAGCAACATACCAGTGAAAATCTATTACATATATTTTAATGAATCTAATATCCATAAATTTCTAAATAGATAATTCCTGAATTAAGAGGCATTTACATTTTAAATTTTGGTAAATAATGTCAATTTGCCCACCAAAACCATTATCCTAGTTTATATGCTGTCACTCTAGCTTAACCTGGACCTTAGCATTTTTTTTTTATCAGTCCAGGAGGTGATGAATTGTAACTTCAAGTCTAGTAATTTAAAACTGTGCATTTATTTGTCTTAAGAGTTTGATATTGAATTTTATCATTTCTTCTACAAGATAGATAAGAATATTCCTCTGCTTGTATGACAGGTTAAGAATAACTCACTTGCTCACATTAGCTAATGAGTTGAAAAATCTTTACCAACTCCCATGGTTGATGTCAGGAATTATTTTTTCTTTAGGGTTGGATGTATGGCTCTTTTCATTTGTAATAATATATTACCATTTACATATTCAACAGTATTTTATGATAATAACTATACTTAAATGTCCCACATGGAACCTTCTAATAAATTTCATTTAATCTTTTAACAATTTTGAATATACTAATCATGTATTAATTAACAAAGGAAATTATAGGAGAGGCACAAGGCATTGCCTCTGATTTTAAGATGATTTGAATTTAGATGGAGTTTAAAAGGCAATAACTAGCAATAATATTTGTTTACATATTAAGATAATGCTTCATAAATATATACTTATCATCGCTGTTACTGAGCTGTTAGAGATCTCTTACAAGTGCATTGCATTAGTAGGCCCAATTTTGGAACAGTTAAAAGTTGTAAACCTAATTTGATACTGACTCCAGTATAGTTCTAAATTGGTTTTCTATAATAAATTGCAGGGCTTTGAAATGGAACCTGCTTCATCTTGAAATTTATAATTTATGACTGAAAACCATCTCGTTTTCTACGAAAGAAACAGATAATTTTGATTGATATATGTTAGTGACTATTTTGGAACCACACCTTACTTACTCTCCAAGTAGATGTTTTATGGTTTAAACTTGTTCTTATTTTTTCTAGAAGATGTCACTGTTTGCTGTTGATGAACAGAAATGTTAAGAGAAAAACTGATTCTTTTGATAATGTGGAATTCTCTTTTTAATCCTTGTAAATATTTGATTACATTGTTTTACTCAACCTTTGTAGTTTTTAGTCATGGCACATTCATTAAATTGAAGTGTATTATAATGATTTTATTTTTAAGAATTTTGAAGATTAATGGACTGTATCAATAAATTTAAGTATGGAAAATAATCTAGAGAATATAATGTTACTTTAATGTTTGTCATTATTTTACAAGTAGGTATTGGTGGGAAAATAAGTGATATGCCTTGGGCAACAAATTTTGGGGTTGTCAAAAAACAAAATTACAACTAACTTAGTTTTCTAAAAAAGAAAAACTTTTGACATAAATTTAACAGTTAACTTAAGCAAAGAAGATGTAGGAATAGTGCAGCCCTCTGAATTAGAAGTTCAGAAAAGTCATACAAGCAGGGTGTATTTAGAGACAGAAAATAGAAGTGAGATCCAAATACAGCTTATGACAGCTCTGAATCTTATTTGAACATGATTGGTAACCTGTGATTGGCTGATACTCAGCTGTTTGTTACCAAGTAAACTTCTAATTTGGTAGTTCAGTTTATTTTTGTACCAAATTGGTTTTAGGACATTAATTGGAATTTAAGGCATGGAGACAGCCTCGACCAAATTTAACAGTTTAAAGATCTAATTGGCTTTCTTATTCTATAAAATAGAACAAGGCTTCCAATGATCTGAGCAGAGAAGGTTGGCTCTGTCAACAGAAAAGGACTGAATAAAGCACAATCTAGGAATGAGAGAAGCAGCAGCTTGGTCCTTTCATAGTTATTTTCCCCGTAGGGTTAAGACAGGGGACTATCTTATGCTGACTTGTATAAATGAGGACTCTTAAGATTGGTGGTTGTGTAGCTCCTGACTTTTTTGGTTTTTTTTTTTTTTGAAAACTAGCCTGTCTTAAAGTTAGTTTAGTAACACGTGGCCCCTGGCCTGAATAACTCCGTTCTGGTTTGGTCTGATCTGGTGTAGTACCAAAGCAACTTTTTTTTAAGAAAGATTTCTCTTTGACATATTCTAATTCTAAGCATCACTATTCTTGCACTTTGGGGACATGTTTAAGTAAAGTAACAGTTACTTGTATACAATCACTTGTGATACCTTGTGATATCAAGACAGGTATTCAGTTAATAACACGCAGGTAGTATACACAGTGTCTATGCTGGACCAAAAAGGATGATTCACATCCCAGACATGATGGAAATTTTATTACACTACTAAGAATGTCAGGCAATTTAAAACTTAAAGTTTCTAGAATTCTTTCATTGAATGTTTTTGGAAGGTGCTTGACTGCAGGTAACTGAAACAATAGAAAGTAAAACCTCATATGGGGAGTCTTCTGTTTTGTAGGTATTGTCAGTCACTGAATCTCAACTACTCAGTTCTGCCTTAATGTTTAAGCAGCCTTAAACAACAATATATAAATGAATAGATGTGGCTGTGTTCCCATAGAACTTTTAATCAAAACAGGTATCAGGATTTGGCTATGGGACTTTAGCTTGCTAGTGTCTAATTTAGGATATACCTACATTCCTAAGTCTTAGACTTTTGAGTATTTTAGCTAAATAGACTAGAGGTGCTCAGTGGGGTCTCTTCATTCTTGGTGATCAAGAAATCCAGATTTCTTATATGAATTCATGCATGACCCTAGGTATCACATCAGTTCTGAACCCTACAACTAACAGCCTCTGCCATGCCTCAAAGAATCTTGCCTTCTCTTTACATAGCTCAGCCCTTTGCTAAGGAACTGGGATGAATTGCTTTGTAGGCTGCTCAGGAACCTTCTTTGTGTATCCCGTCATCTCTACTATTCTCCCTTAAAAATTTCAGGTGTTTCAATAGTCCAGAACTCTTACTTTGCACCTACTTAGCTGAGTGACACCATTGCATTGCTTGGTCTCCATTTCTTTTTCCCTTCTTTTGGCAAAAAAAAAAAAAAAAGTCCCTAGACAGGTTAGAGCAGTTTTGGAAATTACTTAATTTGATTTCCTCCTTTCAACAACTACAATTTTATCTATTATTCAGGGTCTAAAAATCGTTGCTTTGTGTAGTTTTTAGCACTATTTGGTACTTGTTACTCTGTTGTAGCTAAAAGTGGAATTATGCCACTGCTTTTGAACATTTATGATTTTTCTTCAACATGTAATCTAGACTAAATATTCATTATAATATTTTCACTGCTTACATTTTTTATAAAGTTAATATAGACATTATAGAAATTAGGATGATGAGGCCAAAATTTTGATACAAAAGTTTAATATACAAAATATATACAGTTAATATACAAAAGATACACGGGGTGTATAATGAAGAGAAAGTATCCCAGTTACCCTTCTTCCCCGTATATCAAGTTCAATTACTTTTCTGTACCTTTTCAGAAATATTTCAGAACTTTTTAGATGGAAGTATGTGTTGAAGAACACACAAACAAGTAATGTTTTAAAATAACTTACTCAAACTAATGAATGGTTTAGATTTTTTCATTATATTTTATTTTCCTTTTCATTCCTATTTCTAGTCTCCTTATTGATACAAGATAGCAACTTCATAATTTATCACAAATTTAGGAATTAATAGTGCAGACTGATTAGTAGTATTTCAAAAAGTAGGAAATAAGGTAGAAGAAAAAAATACAGAATTTAAGATTCAAAAGAAATAAAACTATTGTATTGACCATTGATCTTTTGAAATGGTGAAAATATTATGACTTCATAATTTAATTATCATTTTATTCTTATTGAGCCCTTTATGCAAAGCAGAAGATACTCCTTTAAGAAGTTGTTAAAAAATAAAATGATCTTTGGTGAAGACTATATTGAAAGCATTCTTTGTGTGTTTCTCTATGCAGTTCATTAATGGTGCTAAGGAAATCTGCTATGCTCTTCGAGCTGAAGGCTATTGGGCTGACTTTATCGACCCATCATCTGGTTTGGCAGTGAGTAATTAAATACATTTTGAATGTCATATCATGTGAAGTAAGATGATTTTTATTACAAAATTATTAAAAATGAAGACAGTTATTAATTTTTACCTTTATTAGCATAAAATTTGGTTTATATTAGTATATTTACTGTTTATAAACTGAAAATTAGAAATTAATATTTCTGATTTCTTTAAGGAAGAAATTATTATTTTTAGAAGCAAAGAACATATTTTTAACGATCCAGAGAAGTAACTTTTTGGAAATTGGTATTTAGAGTTATGCTTTGAAGACAATACTGACCCAAAATTGTGGTCTCATTTTAAATTCTGAATATTTCTTTCATTTACAAGTGGTGATAAAATCAGTTTTTTAATCTTAGGATATGTAGTGCTGTTTCTCAAAGTCAAAGATGTAATATAGACTAAAAATAGAAAAGTTTGATCTAGGCTTTAATTTTCTTATCTTGACAATGATGAAAGTGAATCAGCTGATTCTCATAAAGTTTATTTTATCTTCAAAGTTTGTATCTGATTCTAAGTAACATGAAATTTGCTAAGAACATTCACTTCATATTTTCAGAATACACAGGTATTAGAGAAGCAGGTGTTAGGACAGTTTAGGTATCGCATATGACCTTTTTATTTTTTATTTGATTTTGTAAATATGTGGGGTATTAAAATGAATGTGTTCATATTTTCATAAAAAATTATTACTATAATTTATTTTTTCCTAATGAAAATATGATTTCATTTTTTATTTCCTCTAGTTTTTTGGACCATATACAAACAGCACTCTTTTTGAAACAGATGAACGTTACCGATATTTAGGATTTACTGTTGATGATCTTGGCTGCTGTAAAGTCATCCGTCATAGTCTCTGGGGTACCCATGTGGTTGTAGGAAGTATCTTCACTAATGCAACACCAGATAGCCATATTATGAAGAAACTAAGTGGAAACTAGCAATAATGTCATTTTATTTGCTGCTTTATTTGTTTGTAATTGATTAAACAATATAAACTGTCAAAGACTACAATTTTGGAAATATACTTATTTCCAGGTATTTATTTCAACGTTTATGGATTTACAACACTGGCAAGTGATTTGGGATTTTAAGATCACAAATGTTAATTATTCATATTGTCATTGAATATATGTGGAGCACTTCCACATTGTACAAATGTGGGAGTTAACACATAATCAGGGTATGATTGGTCTCTTATTATTAGTTCTCCCCTTTATTAAAAAGCCTTAGTTTTAATTATTTTTTTCAAAAAATTATATATTTGCTTATTATGGCATGTGTTCTTTTATTGCAATATTTTAAAACTTAGTTCTTAAAAGATTTTAAAGTAGCTACAGTATTAATTTTCAAAGTTGTTTTTAATAATACAAATGAGAATTCTACATCCATTGTAGACTTTTCTAATTTTCTTTTTTCTTTATTTGTTAAGCATTCTCAAACTAATCTAAGTATTACTTTAAAATAACATGGGGAAGAAAAAAGAATAAAGATAATACATCTTGATGTATAAAAAAAAAAAGCATATGAATCTCATTCTTATACACACTTTAAAAAAAAAATTCTTAACTCCTGAGTTGGGCCAGATAAATACATTTTATTTTCAGATAAAACTATGCCTCTGCTGCTGAATCACATTTCTTCAGCCTCGTTACTTTAGTGCCTTTGTGACAGAACTTGTTTTTACAGCACTATAAACTTTAAAGGAATCATCTTTAATTTGCAAGGCTTTACCAATAGAAATAGACAAATCTCAGGGGGAAAAAAACAATTTCTACCAACTGAAATAATTGAAAGAAACTTTATATTTTTCTTTGTCTTTTGTTTTTGTAATTAAATTTTTGTTTTTAAAAGGAGTACATGAAGATCACCAACTTTGATTTAAAACTCTTTGCTTAGTTAACTTGTAGCTTGATATAATAACTATTGCCCGCAATTGAAACAGTAAAAGTTACAAAGTTTGTATTCATTATGGGAAAAATGTGGTTTCCATAACATTTTGAAAACAATTTATTAAAGTGTGTATGTATATATACATGTATACATGCATATACACATGTATATGAAAAGCTTTCATCTGTAACTAGCACCCAGTTAAAAACACCAAACATCAAGTGCTCCAGAGGATTATCCTGCTGCCTTCCAGGCATTTTACTTCTAAAGATAACCTCTATTGCATAAATTGATTTTTATATCTGAACCCATATGTTTCCTTTTGTGTCTGGCTTCTTTTATTCAGACATCTGATACATTGCACATTCTTTGTGCCATGGGTTGAAACTTGTTTTAACCATTCTAAAGTGCCATCTACTGGTTGAAATGATACTTACTCCTAGGTGTCCATATCTATGTACTGTATTGTATGGGGAAGAGACTTCATGGTGCTGAGACTCCCTTTATTATCTTGACTTTCTAACAAGATTTCCAGAAACAAATAGCATGGTAAGCAGTAACTGCCAGTAATTTTTTTTTTCCCTTGTAGTGTTATGGCAGGATTCAGGAAGTAGAACTCTTGCTAGTGGTAATAATAGAAAGTGCTTGATTATTATGTACTCTGTAAGAAAAACACCTCAAGTATCAGTTTTTTTATGATAATTTGATCAGGACTGTATAACAAAGAATTTGTAAATTTTCCACATAAACATTAATTCTCTACCTTTAAAAATAAGATTTAAACATTAAAATCGATATTAAACCTGTCAATGAAAAAAAAAGTGGAGGATTGTAAAATTTATTTTTATAGGAACTTGGAAATTTTGGTATGATAGTTAAATGTTGAAAAGGGGTCTTTCAGATAATCTGATCCACATCACTTAGATTTTAAAGAACAAAATTGGAAAACAATGTACAAAGGTCACATCTAGTGTTGAAACCCTGCAGCAGAACTGGGCTGTAATTCCATTATTTACATATATTTCCTTTCTATATTTGTTCTTCATGGTTATCAAGAATCTAGTAAGTATCCAATTAAAAATATCAAAGAGGCAGAATATAATCTGAAAAAACTTCAGGGTTAACTAATACTGGCTGCTCTATATCTTTCACTTAGAAATTTATTTCATTGAACCCTGTTTGCTCTGAATTTCTTTGAAAATTTACTGAAACATTTATTTAAAAATTCAGTTATAGGACTGGGGATATAGCTCAGTTGGTAGAGTGCTTGCTTCGCATGCACAAGACCATGGGTTCAGTCCCCAGCACCACACACACACAAAAAAAATTCAATTATAGAATGTTATACTTCAAACAGAAGTTCTCTGGCTTCATATTTAAAAATGTCTTTTCTTGATTTCCATCACTTATATTTGAACAAAATTCTGCTTGTAGTTCCAGTTCTGTTCTCTCTTCTCACGACTGGTTTCTTATTCCAAAGCAGGGTTTGTCCACTTATGCACTCTGTACATTCTGAGTCAGATAATTCTTTATTCAGACCCAAATCAACTTCATGAACCCTTTTCTGCTACTGCACCCTCATAAGTCCTCCCTTATATTGAATAGTACTTTGTTGATTACTAGTATACAATTGTTTGGGGTTTTGATTTGGGTTTTTTTAAAATTTTGTCTCCCATACCTAGAAATTAGGAATCTCAATTCCCTACTGAAGCATACCACTGAACATGAAACAGTAACTTTTATTCTCATCCTCTGATTACTAACCTGGGTATTTTAAACTTTACATAGATTTTTGTCTGCCCTCCATTCTTTTTGTCAATGGGATATATGTAGCCTGTTACTTCATTATCCAGTGGACTTAGATAAAGGCTTTGAGTGTTTGACTTCCAATTATACTGAAAATTACTATAATCACTTAAAAACGTGTTACTGCTATAGAAAGCACATAAATGATTGCTTGACTGATAACAAAGGTAACGCTGCAGTGCAGTGAGAAAAGGGTGATCTTTTTAAAATATCCTCCTGGGTCATTGAATATACATACAAGAAAAGAATATTTTTACTCTTACCTTGCACCATACACAAAAATTACTTCCAAATGGATGGCTTAATGTAGATGTGAAAAGTTTAAAGCAATTAGGTAAAAATAAAACTTAGTGACCTTGGAGTAGACAAAACTTTTCTAATAACCAAATGAGGGGAAGGTTTTGATGAATTACAGTAAAATTAAGCTTTTAATACATCAAAGACTCATGAAGGTGAAGGCAACTAACAATTGGATATATAAACACATCCATCAACCCAGCAATATAAAATATCCAACAAAAACTCATTCAAGATATATCAAGAAATCATAAAATTGGTGTTACAGTTTGGATGAGATGTCCCCCAAAAGCTCCTATTAATGCAAGAATATTCACAGGTAAGATGATTAGATTATGAGAGTGGTGACCTGATTGGTTCCTCCTAGTTTGGATCCACTGGATGTATCTGTTGGCATGTGGGATAAGGCTGGAGGAAGTGGGTCACTTGGGATGTGCCCTGAAACCGGGGGAGGGTGGGGATGTTGTGCTCCCTTCTGCCTGACCATGTATTGAGAAGCTTTCCTCCATTGTCATCTGTCATGATGTGCTGCCTTACCTTGAGCCCAGAACAGTGGAATTGGTAGTCTATGAACTGAGACCTCTGAGTCATGAGCCCCAAATAAACTTAGTTCTAAGTTGTTCTTATTGCATATATTTAACACATTGACACAAAAGCTGATTAAAACAATTAGAAAAAAAAAGCTTTATATATAAACATTGGCAAAAAATAAAAAATAACCCAAATGGCCAATGAATATTGGGTCATTGAATATACATACAGGGAAAGAATATACATGGGGTATATTCATTGGGTAAAAAATATACACTGCAGATACACACACACATTGGGTTTATATACCCAAGTAGGTTTCCTACTTAAATCAGGTTGCAACTATGTGCATCTACACAATATCATATCATACCATACCACTGCATGTTTCCCACTACAGTGGGTGAAATGAAGAAGATAACAAGTGTTAGCAGAGATATGGAACATTTGCTATTTTGAGGAGAATAGAATAGTAAACACACTGGAAAACTGGTACTTCTAAACCTTAATATATCATAGGGCTTAGCAATTCCACCGAGACAGAGACCTAGGAGAAATGGGTACAGAGGTTCCACCCAAAGGCATGTGTTCCTATAAACATCTATACCAGCACAATGTTAATAGCTGAAGTAGGAAACTACTCAAATGCCCATTGAAATTAGAATGAACATATCAATTGTGGCATGTTCACATAGTGGAATGCTACATAATACTGAAAATAACTGCTTTATGACTACAACAAAATGGAAGAAGCTATTTAATATACAATGATGTGTAAAAGAAGCCAACACAAGAGTTCATACTATACAATCCCATTAATGTCAATCACAAAAATGAAAGTTCTGCTAGAAGTTTAGGATGGCACTTACCCTTGGGAGGGGAAAGATTTGGTTCTGGAATGTCTCCCAAAGGCCTGTGGTTAAAGGCTTGATCACCAACCTATTTGAAAGGGGTATAACCTTTAGAAGGTGGTGTAGTGGAAGGAAATCAGGTCATTGGGGGTGTGTCCTTGAAGGGGGTACTGGAATCCCAGGCCCTTGTTTCTTTGCTTCCTGGTTCCTTCCATAGGTAGACAGGTTTTCTCTGCTGCCCCCTCCTACCACCATACCACCATATGTCCAAAGCAATGGAGACAACTGATGGCAGATCGAAACCTCTGAAACTGAGTCAAAATAAACTACTTCCTTTTAAGTTGATTATTTCAGATATTTTTCACCTCAATAGAAAGATAATTAACATACTTACTGGCTGGAAAGTAGTACTAACTTTTTCTTCTTGGAACAAAAATAGGCCAAGCAGACAAGGTTGCAGTGCTATAATCTGCTTTGATCTTGTTCTTTATAAAACTTGAGGCTCTAATTGCTTCAATTTTGTGTTATATAGATTATATTTAAGTTACAAATTATATATTCTAGTATGAAGATCTTGTGTCATTAAATTGTCACTTAAATGGAAGCTAATTTAATAATCAAAACCAGGAGCAATTTTTTAAAACTCTTT